CTACCACACCCAGCTTTGTCTTGGGGTTTTGCTGTTGTTGTTGTTCCTTTTATTAATAAACATCTTTTTAGCAAGCTGACCTCACTCCTTTGCCAGTGTCTTTTGGGAACTAGTTGGGCTGAGAAATCCAGGAAGGCCAGGGTGGCGAGAGCTCTTTGTCTATGTGTAGGTAGGACTCATGGGACTGAAAGGGGTAAGCAGATGGCCACCGTGTGATCCTCTAGTGAGTGTCTACGTGACGCAGCAATGTCACTTTGTTGTCTTTCCTATGCAGACCCTAGGCACACAGCAGCTGCTGTGGTACTCCTCTGTGGTAGATAAGGGAGACATCACTTGGGAGCATACAAGCCCATACTCCCACAACCAAGAGAGATTCACCCTGTACTTCTCTCCTCGAACAGGACAGATTCTGATGAAATTTGTTTCTAAAAATAGCCCCAGAGGCAATCCAGCTGTTAAAGAGCCCCTTTGTTCCCTTGGAACCAATGTGTGGAAAAACCATAGCAGCCCCAGGAAGGGCAATCTATGTCATCCAAGAACGTGTATATACTGAGTGCTTGAATGTCACTGCCCTTGAGTGCTGAGTGTGGCCCAGCAGCTTCCTGCCTCAGTTCTGGGGCATGAGAAGCAAGCACTCCAGCTGACTGTTTTCCCAGGCATCTCTCATGACCAGGGGGCAGGGGCAGCCAGGCTGCCCATTCCCCAGATGCCAGACCTTCTAGATCAGCAGTTCTCAACCTGTGGGTCAAATATCAGATATCCTGCATATAGATTCTTACACCACAATTCATAACAATAGGAAAATCACAGTTATGAAGTAACAAAGAAATAATTTTATTGTTAGAGGTCGTCATAACATGAGGAACTGTATTAAAGAGTTGCAGCATTAGGAAAGTTGAGAACCACCGCCTCTCCACTCTCAACCTCCTTAACCAACATAACATTATGCTTTTTCCTCTTCATACCCCAACACACACAGAGAGAGAGAGAGAGAGAGAGAGAGAGAGAGAGAGAGAGAGAGAGAGAGAGAGAGAGAGAGAGAGAGAGAGAGAGAGAGAGAGAAAGAGAAAGTTATCTAGTTACAAGAGCATGAAGATGACCCAGGCCAGTGTATCCCGAATGATTTGGAAGAGAGTACCTTCCCTTAGCCCTGGGTCCCAGGGAATCACCTATTCATGTCCTGCTGATATTAGTGCTGTTATAGGACGGAGCTGGGAGTGGAGGTAGAGCTGCAAAGAAGACACATTCTACTCCCACATGCTGTTCCCTGCCCATACCACAGAGCTATGTTGTCATCTAATGTATCCTGATGTCTCTGACACAGGCTGGATCTGAGGAGCAAGTGATCAGTCATGGATCAACTCATGGTATCGCTCAGGCTACCTCTTTCCTGCCTCCCACAGACCTGGTGAGGTTTGCTGTCGCTGTACGGCATCGCCAGACAACACAGCCATTCCACAATTCCTCCTGCCTCAGCTTCTCAAGTGCTAGGAATTACAGATGGAATCCATCATGCTAAATAGTGTGGTTTATAGTTTTGGCCCTTGGGGGTGAATTGGGGTTGGCTATTAACCTGTGGATTCCTGGCCCACTGCTAGCATCAGTCTGTCTGAGGCCCCTTTCTGCTCAATCTCTCCCCAGTTCCTGTTCTCTTCTCTGCCTGTGGACAGCATTCTAATGGTCTAAGATATCTTTTTGTACACATATGTCCCTTAGAATGTATAGAATTGTTTTGGGGCGCATGCCTTTTAACTCTTGTAAAAAGCTATGTAACTATTAGCTTCTTCCACCCATCATAATGTTTTTGTATCCCCAGTGTTGCCAGTATAGTTGTGTGTGTGTCTAATGTGTTTCTGATGGAAAGTCACATTCTGAGTCACCTAGTGGGTGTCATTTAGCTATCCATTACCAAGTGCTTCCCAGGTGACTTCCCACTCCCTGTCACAACAGATGGCATGCCAGGGAAGTCATGGTGCTTGCCCTCTTCCAGGCCCTGTTTGAGAACTTCCTTAAGTGGTGCACCCAGGCTTAGTTTGCTGCGTCCAGGATGTACTTTATGCTTACTGTAACTTGGAAATACCTGCTGGCTTTGGGGAGGAGGATGGAGTCTGGATCTCTGAGGTCACTTTCTCCAGGTGACTAACCTCATTCATGCTGACTCTCAGGTTGACCTTAAACCCCCCCCCGTCTCCTTGCTGAGTGCTGGGGTGGGATTAGAGGCATGCACTACCACACCTAACCAGAAAGCAGCATTCTCCTTTAGGGAGGACTGGCCTACTACACCCCAGGTCTAGGAACTAACTGAGCACAGCATCAGGCTCCTGGGTCTGGCCATGGAGGGCTAGCCTGTGACCAGTGTCCCTGCCCTCACTTGAGTGTAGCTATTGGGAAATGATGAAAAGCTGTACCACTGCCATCTAAATGTTCCCATCACACTGGCAAAGTCCTGCGTTCTGCCTCTGACCTCCTTCCCATGTGTCTCTAAAAGAGGGAGTGTGTTCTGATCAGCCTGCCTGAGAACTGTATGAAGGCCCAACTCAGGATAACTCAGACACAGCAGCCTGATGTGGCAGGTTCCTGTTTTGTTTTTGAGATTCTCAATGTGTAGCTTTTGATGGCTGAGACTGTCTGTGTAGCCCCAGCTAGCCTTGAACTCTCCATCCTCCTCCAGCCTCAGGTCCCCAAGAACTAGAAGGATCTGTATGACCAGGCTCTTGCCCACTTTCTCCTTTTTCCTAAAAACAAAAACAAAACTTTAAAAATTATATTTACTTATTTGTATCGGGGATTGTGTGTATGGAGGCATGTGTGCAGAGGCCAGTGTGTGGATGTCAGAGGACAACTTGTGGGGCTCATTCTCTCTTTACACCATGTGTCCCCAGAGATCAAACTCGGGTCATCAGTCTTGGCAGCAAGTGCCTATGTCCTCTGAGCTATCTCATTGGCCCTCTTTTGTTCTTGTTTAGGCAGGGTCTCAGGCAGACCAGGATGACTTCAAACTCAGCATATAAGCTAGACTTGAACTCCTGATCTCCTGCCTCTACTGAGTACTGGTATTGCAGGTGTTTGCCGCCACTCTGGCTCTGGCTTACAATGTGGTGCTGTGGGTGGAACTCAGGGCCTCGTACATGCTAGGCAAGCATGCTACCAGCTGAGCTACATACCCAGCCTATTTGACAGCTTTCCTTTTTTTAATATTTTATTTGTTTATTGTGTATACAGTCTTCTGCCTGCATGCTGGCGGAGGGCTCCAGATCTCATTCAAGGTGGTTGTGAGCCACCATGTGGTTGCCGGGAATTGAACTCAGGACCTCTGGAAGAACAGTCAGTGCTCTTAACTGTTGAGCCATCTCTCCAGCCCCTTGACAGCTTTCTTGACAGGGAGCAGTTCTTTGGAAAGTATTGGAATGTCAGAGAGGAGCAGACCTGAGCAGGACCTCTCAGTGCAGGTCACTGGTGGGGTTTAATGGCCAAGAGATGTGGAGGCAGGAGGTGTGGAGGCAGGAGGAGTGGAGGCAGGAGGTGTGGAGGCAGGAAGAGTGGAGGCAGGAGGAGTGGAGGCAGGAGGTGTGGAGGCAGGAGGAGTGGAGGCAGGAGGAGTGGAGGCAGGAGGAGTGGAGGCAGGAGGAGTGGAGGCATGGGTATCCACACTCCTGGGCTCTTCTCCGGTGGGGCCTACAGGCCCCTATAGCCATGCCAGTCTGGAGCCAGTCCATTCTGCTCTGGGATGGTGTCAGAGTGGTGCCGTGGGATGGAGGAGAGGAAGATCTGGGCAGTGTCTTCCCATGGTGAGCTTTGAGTCTACTACTGCTTAGAAAGGACAAAAGGTGTGCCATCTACTTCAAAACCCTTATCGGTCATGAGCAAGGGAACAATAGGTTTCTGTGGGCCTTTGAGGTTTAGAGAGAAGATCTATAGCTTTGTTTTCATTTTCCTGTAGCTTTGGTCTTGTTTTTGAGGTAGAGTGACTTTGGATTCGGGTTAGAGCTGAAACCCTGGCTCTCTGGAGCCATATTTGTCTGCTGTAAAATAAGGCTGTTGAGCATTCAGTGACACAGTGTAGTAATAATGGTAATAGCTACTGGGTACACAGCAGCCCTTGTCAGCGGCTGTACTAGGTACTGTGTAATATTTGAATTCATATTGCAGATACTTGGTATCCATCTCATTTTCAATGAAGTCTCAAGTATAGTGCCTAACACATTGAATGTACTAAAAAATAGTGTTTCCCCCTTCCCCATCTCTCCTCACTCCCACTCTGCTCCTGAATGTGAGAACACTGGAGCCTCATTTGGGATGAGGGGGACTCATTAGAGAAGTGACAGGTGCTTCTGGGGACCTTGGAAGCAGCTTTCAGACCTTAGGCTGGTGCAGCCCATAGACAGGGCCAGCCTTCTCGCCTACCCCCGCCCCAGAGCTCTCTTCCATAGCCTCACACCATGCTTGATAGTGACTCAGGAGTGTCCCCAAGAGCTATCCACTTGCCCTAATGCAAAAGCTCCTGGCCCAGAGAAAAGAGCAGAGCAGGGTAGGACATGAAAGTCCGCTGTCCTGAGCAGCCCCAGTAGAATGACCCACGTCATCTATTATCCTAGACAACCCTGTCTGCAGTGCTGCACCATCCTAAAGCCTGACTCCAAGCCCGCTGCCCCTTTTCTCCATGTCCAAGCAAGCTTGTTGCCTGTGCCCCATCCAGTTTCAGAGCCATAGGAGGATGGGGGATGGGTTCCTTCCATCAGAGGTGACCTGATGGTCTGGGGACAAATGCCTCCTTCAGTACCCCAGGAGAGCCTCGGGGAGTAAAGAGTTCCGGGGACAGAACTGAAGGGCAGATGGTCAGGTGTTGCCACTTGGGTCATAGGTTTTCTCTTCATTTGGGGTACTCACTGATGAGCCTCACGACACTCAGCTTATCGGGAAGTGTGGAGTGGCATACTGTTCAGGTACATCCGGAAGCAAGGCTGGGTGATCACATGAAGTAATGTGATTTCTGCCCCCAGGAAGAAAGGATGGTACTTCAGTCTTCTAGCCTATCATCCTCCAGGATGGAGAACACGCCTAGCCCAGAATGCTCCAAGTGACTGACTATCCTGACCTGACCTTCCTGACTGGAAAACTGTAAGGTTAACAGAGTCTTCTTCGGCAAGCTCAGCATTCTAGAGACCTTACATGTCCCTCAGTGCAGCAGGACTTGCGTAGAAAGAACCACTGAAACTTGAGGTCTCTATCACACACTGCTCCTTGGTCTCTGTACCCATGGCTGGATACCTGGCCTGCTGTGTAAACGTCTCTGCCTCTCCTGGAGCAGTTCAGTAGCATTCTGCCTTCTAATCATCTGTACCCTCCTCTGTGGGTTGTCTCTGTGACAGGAAGACTTTCTCCCTCTTAAACCCGAGGAGAGGTTTTAAGTAAGGAGTCTAGACTTAAACGGTCCTTTCTTACTCTTTTGAGACCCAGGACCATAGATGCTGATGACTATTACTGGTGGCTGCAACCCAGCTCATGGTATTGTTAAGGAAATTGCCCAGCTGGGCGTTGGTGGCGCACGCCTTTAATCCCAGCACCCGGGAGGCAGAGGTAGATGGGTCTCTGTGAGTTCGAGGTCAGCCTGGTCTACAAGAGCTAGTACCAGAACAACTTCCAAAGCCACAGAGAAACCCTGTCTTGAAAAAAAAAAAAAAAAAAAAAGAAAAGAAAAGAAAGAAAACCAAGAAAGCTGCCCTAGAACTTTCTTTTTCTGGAGAGGAAGATGGGGAGGTTCATGGAGCAATTGTCCTTCTACTTAAAGGACAAGGAAACAAAAGTTCACTCAGATCAAGTGAGGTTTTCTCCCATCACTTGAATGCCTTGTGCTGAACACTGAGCATCCAACATGTTGAAATGCTCATTTATTAAATCAAGAGTCCCATTCCTTTATTGTGCCCCTAGCACGATATGTTATGTGGGACTGGTTCTCCTCCCAGTTCAAGGTCCTAAACTGGCTAAGTGACTCACCAAAGATGACTTGGAAAGAAGCAGGTATGTTTCTGAATGTGCTACCGGTGCATTCAGCAATAAAACATCAGCTGAGTGCCACTATATACAAGCTCTCTCCTAGGCAATGGGGAGCAAGCAGTGAGTAAAATGGGTAAAAGAATCCCTGGCGCCACAGAGTAACCACTGTATGGGCAGGGACGGAAAAAATAAAAACCTTCTGTCAAGAGTAGTGGCTCACACCTGTAATCCCAGCACTTGAGAGGCAACAGCTGAAGAATCATGAGTTTATAGCCAGACTGGACTGGATAGTGAGTCTCAGGTCAGCCTGGGCTCCGTTGAAAGACATTCTTTTAAAAAAAGAAACACAAAAACAGAGGCTGGAGAGATGGCAACTAAGAGCACTGGCTGCTTTTCTTTTCCCAGCACACGTCAGCTCAAAACCATACACAACTTAAGCTCCAGGGCATCTGACACCCTCACCTAGTCTCCTCGGATATCTTCTGAGATGCAAGTGGTCCACAGACATGCAGGCAGGCAAAATATCTATATACATAAAATAATAAAATAAAAATTTTAAATTTAAAAAAAGTAAAATCTGCTGGGTAATGGTGATGCACACCTTTAATCCCAGCACGTGGGAAGCAGAGGCAGGCAGATCTCAGAGTTTGAGGCCATCCTGGTCTACAGAGCGCGTGCCAGAACAATCAAGGCTACACAGAGAAACCCTGTCTCAAATAAGAGATGGGGTGGCGAGAGAGAAGAATAAAATCTGACTCCCAGCTCCATGCTCATCAGCGTTGTCTTGGACATCCTCTGCAAGATTAAGGGTCTTTGCCTAAGGGTCGAGATGGGTCTCTTGCTGCTATAGCCCCCTCACTCCTTGCAGACTTGGAGAACTAAACTGGGAGAAAGTCCTGTGACAGTTGGTGGGGAAAGACACATTCCAGATACCCACTGCAGCCCTGGGTAGGACAGAACCTTATGCACACTCATATACATACAAAAACTTTCCCTAAAAGAAAATACTCATTATAACATTTAATTTTAGAGACAGGACCTTGCTTTATAGCTCAGAATAAGCCTCAAACTTGTAACAACTCTACCTCAGCCTCTTGAGTGATGGCATTATAGGCATGGACCATGTACTTGGTGATAATGTTTAATTTAGAGATTAGGCACAGAAAATGGAGAGATAGCCCAACTGGTAAAGTGTTTGCTATGCAAACATGAAGATCTGAGTTCAATCCCTATCACCTACATAAAAAACCAGGGTGGTGGCATGTGCTTCTAATCCCAGCTCTGGGTAGGCAAAGACAAAGAGGATCTCTGGGGATCTCTGGTTGGCCAGCCTAGTCTAACTGGGGAGTTGTAGATCAATGAGAGACCCTGGCACAAAATTACCTCTGTCTTCTAAACAACATGTATACATACAAACATATGCATATAACTGTGTGTGCACAGAAGTGCAGGTGTTCCCACGTACACACACAGACACACACACACACAGAATAGATGCAGTAAGAAATTAACAGAAATAATTAATAACAAAATTGGGCAATTATGGCAGCACAGTTATGTGAATGCATGCTCCCTTTCTTGTACCATCCTCAATTCTCCTTTCCACAGGATTTGAATAGGAAGGGACTACTAGTGTTGGCCCTGCTCCTACATCAGTCTGAGAGAGGGAGTTAGACCCACTGCCTCCGGCCCTTTTCAGACCACGTTTCCCAGGATTCCCTGCTTGCTTAACTTACTGTAAGTCAGAGTATTGAGAAGACTGACTGGGCATGCTAGCTGAGGGAGGGGTGTAACAACCTCCATCCCAGAGGAACCTGCTTGAAGCAGGGTTGCTTGGGATCAGCAGGGGCTTTGATCAACAGGAACCAAGTTCTTATCTGATGACTCTTGAGTTTTGTTCTCCTTCTGGAAGCAAGAACGGCATCTGTTTATCACCCTGCCAATTGGAGTGCCTTGCCAGCCCCTGGCGGCATAACCCAACTGCAGGATGGGTATTTAACATGTGCCCTCTATGTTTGGGTGCTAAGTTCAGTGAGAACCCCTCACATTGGAGCGGCTGACATGTAGGGCTCAGCTCAGTCTCTGTGTCACCTTCAACCCTGCTCATCCTTACTTACACTTAGCTGTGCCCACACACTCAGCCAGCGTGTGCTCCGGGTAACATCCTTCTCGATGACGGAGAAATGCCTGCCTCTCTCTGATGTGTCACTATACTAACATGAGACCCTCCAGTGTTGCTTCCTCACACTGATGGCTGTTAGGGCCTGTACACTGGCTGAACTTATTTCTCCTGCATCGGAGAACCTTGAACACTCATATCCTTCAAACTTACTATCTTTCTTCCTCAGAGGTCTATCTGCCTTTTATAGGAAGAAAAATTATTCCACTCTGTATCATAACTGCCAGAACATTTTAGTCTTTCATTACCTTGGAAAGCTGCTGGGAGGACTTAGCCCTAAGACCAAAATCTGGTGTCAGATAATAGCCATAGTTTGCCAAATTTTCATACCACCGAAGGCTGAATGTTTTTAAGGGGCCTTTTATCAGCCCATCTTCCTGGTTTGTAAACGTCTGTGTATAGAGAAGAATGTGGCACATAGGAGCGGATGGTGTGTGGACAAGCCATCCTCCTGCCCCCGTGGATCTAGATTCATTGCCTGATTCTTCTCTCATCTTACAGGTAAAGCCAGACTAAAGCATCCTATAATCAGTTATTGCCTGGAGAGTGGGAGGGACTTTAGGGGCAGTAGCCTTTTATATGCAAGTTTCTTAAGTTAATTTGTATGCTTTAGTTTGGAAGAAGTGAGACTTAAAGATGGTGTTTCTGAGATAAATTCCCTACCCTACCAGTTGACAGGCCCGCCCAGGGCCTCCCATGAGTCTGGCCACTCAGCTTAGGCCTCAGCTATCAGTTCCGTTCAGACACCAACTGTCATTTAAACCTTTGTGCTGGAGAGTACCTTGCAGATTCTGGATCCTCATGGCTGTTCTAATTGTTTCTTTTTGTCTTTTTCTGCATCTCTATTCCAGAGACCTAGCTGTCATCGTTATCCAGGGAGCCCTCCTCTTCCTCCTGACGACGCTGCTCTACCATCGCAGTTGCTGGTTGTTGCTAAGGTTGCCTCCATGGTAACATGCTTATCCTGTTTACACTTTTATATGGGCAAGTAGTCTAAGCTAGGAATCAATCTACTCTGGACAACTATTTCCATCATCACCCAGAGGACACCAATCAGCGTGACGCCAAATCCATCTTCTACTAAGTTCCTCCAACGTCTTCCTCCTCTCACTAGTAGACTTGATACAGAAGAAAGGATCTAGGCTTGGTGTTGCCACTCTGAAGCTTGTTGCACAAGATATTGTCAATTTAACCCCTATCTGGGCCCCAAGAGAGAAAAGAAGTGGGAGAAACGGGGAAGAGAAGGCAAAAGACATTGATCAGTTGGAGGGAAATCTACATCTTCTCTGTTTGAGAGTCTGGTAACCGGAGGCAAAATGACGAACCCATCAGGACATAGCTTGGCAGGCAACTCGGTGTCTGAGAACTATGAAGGGGAGTTTGGCTGCACATTAATGGACCTTAGAAAGCTCATGGAGCTTCGTTCGGCTGATGCAGTCACCCAAATCAGTACCCACTATGGAGGTGTACAGGACATCTGCGCTAGACTGAAAACCTCCCCTGTAGAAGGTAAAGGCCATTTCAAGGGCTGGGGATTGGAGGACAGTGACTAGGATTTTGAAATATTATTTCCAAGCTTCTGGAGAAGGTACATTTCTGGAGACCCAGTGGGTTGGTTTTCATCTTGTGGGAAGAGTTCTGTCATCTAAAGTGTTGGAAGGAGGGAGGTCACAAAGAGCTGTTTCTTCCCCTGGTGTGTTTAGGAACTATGATTCTCTAAAGTTTTCTTTCCTCCTGTTTCTATAGCAGTCTTACTTATTTGTGATTTAAATCTACTTATCAGTATATAATTAATTCTCCCCATTCTATCAGTCTTTGATTACAAAAGAACTTGAGATAGAATTCTTCCTCACACACATCTTAAAGTTCAATGGCTGAGAAAGGGCTACAGGAAGTAGTATTCCAGCCATCTGAGTATCTCATTGTACACAATTAGAAATGGGATGGCATATCATAAGTACATCTTTGGATCAGTCTTTAGTTACTGATTTTTTTTAAAACCCTGTCTGATAAACTTTTGCCTCCACCATATAGGGATCAAACCCAGGGCTTTGCACAAGTCCACCCACCACTAAGCTGTAGCCTCAGCCCTCTTTTTTACATTTTTTATGTAAGACAGATTCTTACTACATTGCCCAGGCTGGACGTGAGCTTACTCTGTAGTGTAGGCAGGCTTTGAGTTCATAATTCTTCTGCCTCAGTCTCCAAAGTAGATGGGATTACAGGCCTGGTATTATATCTCATAAGCTTTGGGTTCAGACGTTTGAAATAATGTTTATACCTAACCCATACAGTTGTTAAGATTAAATAGCACTGTGTATGTGTGTTTGTGTGTGTATGTGAAAACTGATAATAGGTATTTAATAAATTAAACAGAGCTTGTGTACCTGGGGATTTTGTTGGAATATGATTGCCCATATCTTTCCTAGAATCATAATCTCTAATGTGGCTAAGGTATGTGTGACTGCAGCCGCTGTCTCCCATGCTCCCTGTCACCTCAGAGGCTAAAGATGGCAGTGCTTGGTTGCCTTCAGGCCCCCCCCCAGCCTTCTGTCTTGGGTTCCATACTACCTTCTGAACACTGTCGACTTCCTGCCAGCTAAAAGTTTTTTGTTTTCATTTTTATTTATTTATTGAAACAAGATATTGATTTGGAGCCCAGGGTGATCTTGAACCCACACCAGTTATCTTGCTTCAGCCTCCCAAGTGCTGACATTTACAGGCACCACCATCACTTTCTCTGAGATAGTATCACTGTGTTCCAGGCTGACCTGGAACCTGTGATCCTTCTGCTTCAGCCTTTCTACATGCCAGGCATGCACCAGCAAGCCTGTCCTCTGAGCTTCTTTTCAGTGACTGTTACAGCAGTGTGGGCTCTAAGGAGAGGATGTACCTTGTGCTTTTCCGAGACAGTCAGGATTTGCTTCACAGACACACAGCAGAACTGAAGCTGGGTCTCTCTGTTTGCCTTCTTTCATTGTTCAGGTCAGATGTTTCTTTCACAAAGTGGGTCTCAGGGATCCAATGAACTAGCACCCAGGGGCTCATCAGAGCAGGATCCAGACTTTCCTCCTGTTTCTTAATCCTTTCATGGAGCTATGACAATTTACCTTCTATAAAAATTATCAGAAGGCTACTCTCACATGCTTCTCAGCCTCATGTGGCTTTGTCGCCTGTGGGAGGCTCCTGCAGAGTAATAATGGGAATAAAGATAAGAGAGTGAGTTCAAATTCTAGTCAAAAACCAAGATGAAATAAGTTTGAGTAGATCAGAGTGGGGGAGCATTTGCCTGAAGTTCTGGTTACTCGGGAGCTAAGAGGATCTATCTCATGAGCCTGGGAGTTCAAAGCTAGCTTAGCTCCTAGGGTGGGGGGTTACGGCGGTAGTGGTAAGAGAAATAGAGTGTGACCCTTTTTCTTTTATTTTTTGCTTGGATTAACAGCATGTTTAGTGTTGACACAACTTTTCAAATTATAGATAATAAGGAGGCTTAAGGGAACTTGGGATTTTTGACACTAATGTGTCGTTGTTAGCCTCTATTTATACAATCCTAGAAACAGACAGAACTTAGGTTTTTTATTATTTTTTCTTCCTTTTAGTTGATTGAGTTTGTTGTTTGACCAGCACTTAATTTTAATATTCTCTGTCTAAGCTAAAGGGTTTTAATGACACAACTGAGGTCTTTGTACTAGTAGAGCAGCTTCCATTTTCTGGCTCACAGCCTATTAATGTTCTGTGGCCTCTTGTTCAGAAGTGCAGAGGACTTAAAGTTGGTCATGTATGTGCATGAATGAATTTATGTGCATCATGTAAGCTGGTGCCAGAATATGCTCAAAGTTAATGTCATGGATACACTTGAACTAGAGTATCTTAGTTTGGGTTTCTATTGCTGAGTAGAGACACCATAACCACTGCAACTCTTACAAAGGAAAGCATTTAATTGGGGCTGGCTTACCATTTCAGAGGTTTAGTCCATTATCATCATGGTGGAAACTATGACAGCGTGCAGGCAGACATGGTGATGGAGAAGGAGCTGAGAGTTCTACATCTTGATCTATAGGCAGCCACAAAAGAACTGTGTGCCACTGAGCCCAGGCTTAAGCATCTGAGACCTCTAAGCCCTCCCCCACAGTGACACACTTTCTCTAACAAGGCCACACCTACTCCAAAAAAGCCACACCTCCTAATAGTGCCACTCCCTATGGGCCAAGCAGTCAAACACATGAGTCTATGGGGGCCATTCCTATCCAAACCACCACATATGGTTACATGTAATTGTGAGATGTGGTACTGGAAACTGAACCCAGATCCCCTGCAAGAGCAGTAAGTTCTTTAAATTGCTGAGCCATCTTCCCAGCCTCTGATTTTGCATTTTAATGTCTGATAAAATGTGGAATTGGGCCCAATGCACATGCTAATAATGCTCCTGCATTGTGTTAATGTGTTGGAGTAGCAGTTGCTCCTCAGCCTGCAGTAGATTAGAATAAGGAGGACCTGGGGTGGGGAGTTGATGCTGGACAACCTCAGCATTCAACAGTGACTGACAACGAAGAGGAAAGAGTGACCAGAAAAGAGGAGGAACATTTAGAGTAGTAAAATGGAGCAAGGAATGTTGTTTGAGTTTCTTGCCCCATCAGGTCATGCCACCGCTTCAGCCCCAAGTAAACACACAGAGACGCTAGTGCTTCTTATTGGCCAGCTCTCTCTTAATTATTAACCCATAACTACTAATCTATGTATTTCTACACGGCCTTATCTTAACTAGAGAATGCCTGGAGTGTCCTGATTTCCTGATCTCTACATGGCATCTCTTCAAGGTCTTTGCCTACCTTTCCCTGAATTCTCCTCGTCTCCTAGTCCCACCTATCTTCCTGCCTCTATTGACCAAACAACATTTTATTCATCAACCAATAAGAGAAACATATATACAGAAGGGCATCCCCCATCAAGGGAAGATATGTAAGAAGCCACAGGCTCCAGTCTAAATTTATTTATTTGATGTTATGTGTTCAGTGTTTTGTTTGCATATTGTGTGTATGCACCATGTACAAACCTGTTGCCTATGGCATTCAAATTGAGCATCAGATTCCCTAAAGCTGGAGTTACAGATGGTTGTGAGCCACCATGTGGGTGCTGGGGGCCAAACCCAGTTTCTTTGGAAGAGCAGTGCTAGTCATCATCCCAGTCCCGAGTTATCTGTCTTTATGGTTTTGTAGAAACAAAAGCTAACACACAGGGCTAGGAGTTAATAGGACACTTTGTCGATTTGGGCTTATCAGTAGAGGGACTCAGCATTTTGCATCAGTGGAGGATCCCTTTTCATTTTCTTGCTTGTTTCCCAGTTCCAATTCCCTTCTTTAACAAAAAAGGTTTATAATACTATATTATTAATGATATCTAATAATGGACTTCATTACAACATTTCATACATGTGCACAGGCATTTTGATCACATTCACCATGACCTTTGCTGTCCCATCTCACTCCCCCTGATGACTTGTCCCCAACTCTTCACCCTTCTGCTTTGTTGTCATGTGCTCTTCCTCCCCCTAATGGCCCTGAATTCCACTAGAGTCTGTTAAGAGTGAAAGGTCATTTACAGGAGCATGGGTGCCTTACCAGCGGGTTACACCCCTTGGGGGGAGGAGTCTCTTTTCTCCAGAAATCATTACCGGCCTGCAGACCCTCAGGGAGGGCTGGGCCTCCTGCGCCCCTCCCCCATTCCAGTTCTTCCTCTTGACAGAGCCTCACTGTGTCATTCAGGCTATCTTCAAGTTTTCAACCCTAATTCCTCCAGTCCCCCTCTTATTTTCTCGTCTTCTCTCTCTGCTCCATTTCCAGAAATCTCTCCAAGTCCCATAGAGCAGAGCAGCTCAGGAGACTAGGGCTAGAAGAGATAGGTCTCTTATCCTCTGAGCTGTCCCTCCCATCTCAGGGCTTCCTGAAGAGGGGATATTTGGTTAGTCTGGAGTGATGGAGTGAGGATCCCCTGATCTTGAGGAGGAGAGGAGGCAGGTCCTCAGTCTCAGTGCTCCTTAGTGTGGAAGGAGGATCCTGGGTGAGAGACTCTTTGGACTAGATAGAAGGTTGTATTCTTTCTTCCTCATAAGGACTGTTTACTGGGGAGCAGGTGGGCTGGCAGATGGGAGGAAGCCCTGGGCACAGAGAAAAGGGAGCCTTAAATGAACTATAAGTCACCGGCATAGGGCTTCTTTCAAATGGCTAAAGACAATTTCTGTAGAATTTGGGTGTAGATAAATGTTGGTAGGACTTATATCTCATGTTCCATCCCTAGCCTTTCCTATCATTCCTCCCTACAGGATGGGGTATGGCAGCACAGCAATTAAGGTCCTCTGATATACCTCCAACAACATGTAACAGCTAGTGCCTACTCTGTAGATGACCTTCCATTGGTGACCATGACAGCACACACTGTCTCTCCTTCCCCAGAGCTCACAAGTCAATAGAAGTTGCATACAGAATACTGTTTGAAGGGAGAACAGCGTTGAA